TGATATATATATATATATAAAGAATGCGCACCTTTGCAGCGTATCGTATCGACTCAGACTTGTTAAAAGAAAAAAAGTTATATAACACAGATAGATATAGACTTTTGAGTATATACATATATAAAGGCAGCAGACCTAATGCCATATAAATATAGATAAAACTGATCTAAATGGCTGAGTAAAGGCTTTGTCTATGAATGTAGTTAGTACCAGATACAGATACATTTGAAGGCTTCATAGATACTTCTTCATTAGATCAATGTAAGATTGACCAAGCAGCGATTCTCTCCAAGCTAAAGACTTCAAAGATACTTTTGCAATAGTTCAATGTTGTATAAAATATATTTCAATATCTGAGCATAGACTTGATCTATAAATGTAGTTAGTATGCTAGATACAGATACATTTGAAGACTTCATAGATACTTCTTCATTAGATCAATGTAAGATTGACCAAGCAGCGATTCTCTCCAAGCTAAAGACTTCAAAGATACTTTTGCAATAGTTCAATGTTGTATAAAATATATTTCAATATCTGAGCATAGACTTGATCTATAAATGTAGTTAGTGTGCTAGATACAGATACAATTGAAGACTTCATAGATACTCGCCCAATATGTGAAGGCAGATCTCAGCGCAAAAGCAGTTTGAACTCTGTGGCAAGGTGCAGACAAGCAGCACCGAACGGCAACAGCAAATGCAATTAGGAAAAATGTTGCACTTAAAGTGGACAATTTCAGTTGGCTGCTTTTTTTCTCTTTTAATATGTGTCAGTGGCAGCAATAATTTCTAGTTGTTGCAACAACACTTCACTCAGCTGCAACGAGTGTTGCGAAATATAATTCAATTTTTTTTATGCGTTGCATTTAAATAAAAATTAAATTAAATGCACACTTAAAACAACAATTGAAAGAACAATTTGCCATGGCAGCAGCAAGCAACAACCAACACGAAACAACAGCAACAACAACAGCAACAACAAAATGCCATTTTGAAGTTGCAAAATGCGTTGCACTCCACTCAAAAGTATGCAACATATATTTTACTGTTTGTTTTTTTTTTCTCTCTCTCTCCTTTTTTTTGCCCCCGTCGAGTGTGCTGGCGGGGGCGCTCGATTTGGGGTCAAACTGTGTTGCTTGGGGCTGGTCAACAACAGCAACAACAGCTAGCAATAATGGCAGCACACACCCATACACACGCTGTGGCAGCCACACTGCTGCCACATTTATGCACAGGAAGCATTTGTAATCCGCCCCCTCTTGCTGGCGAGCCCCAAGCACACCCTATGCTCCCCTATGCTGCCCAGCCATTAACTACCTCCTGGCAACAAACATTTAGTGTGCGGATCCATCGTCGCCTGCTGCTGCTGGGCAAGTGTTGCGAAAGTGCAACGCCGCACAGCAAATGCTCTTCAATAGGTGCTCAGAATCCTAAAGCCAATTGGGCTTTTACATTTAACGAAAAGTTAATGCTAGCTGCCAGCCAACACACTAAATTAAGCCAGGCTCGATCTCTGATTGAAACCATACTTTATATAGTCTATAGATATATATTAGATGCATTCAAATGATGCCTAAGCTAGCTCTAAGCTATGTCAGCTTTAAGTATCTGATTTAACTTAATTAAATTTTAAATATATTTTTTTAATATTTTCTAAAAAAGATTTCAAGTGCACCAATGCGGAAACTGCACTTCTCTCAGTCTTTGTCATTGATATCTTTAGTTTTAGCTTTAGTTTGAGAACAGAACTCTTAAATAGCACAAGTCGAGCTCAGCTTTGGGCTTAGCTCGTCGCCTCTGCATAGCCACGAAAAACAGCCAAAGTTTATCTATTTCGTTCATACACTGCACAACATAAAAGAAAAGTGTGTTTTATTTTTGTTTTTTATATGTTTTTCCTTTACTTTTTTCTGTTTCTGTTTACTACTGTTGTTTTGTGTTTTTTTATTTTGTGGCACGCCCCGTTGCGTGCGTTTGCACCACTGTGCGGTGGCTGCTTTGGCAGACTGTTTATGGTTTTCGGCTACAACTTAATTTAAATTGTTTAATTCTATTATTGTTGCTAATAAATCACAGGCACAGCTTGCGCTCAGCGCTGGCTGGCTTAGCGTTTGCTAAGCTGCCCTACCAATACACACACATACACACACACACGCATACACAGGCACATTTATCTTCCACACACACATAGAGAGGGAGAGAGAGAGCGAGTGAGTCCTAGAGCCCGCCTGCTGTTGTCGTTGATTTTGTTGTAAGCGGCTTTCGCACTCAGAGCTCTTCCTCTCTCACTCTCACTCTCTCCATCTCCCTCTCTCTATACATATAGAAATTGCGCTGATCTGACTGACTTAGTCGCTGGCAAGTTTCTCGTAAATTTGCAGCTAGATTTTTGGCTTGATTTGCAAATTTCGATTTGTTGTTGAGGCGAGCCTGTGGCAGGAGGGGGCGGAGCTCTCTGAGTGGGGCATTGTGTTATATTATGGTAGATTGTTGGTAGTCCCAACACACACATTTTTGCAATGCTAAGCGCGCCAATCGACATTTTTGCCGGGCTTAACAATTGTAAAAAAAAAAAAATGGAAATAGAAAAAGTTTTTTTTTTGGCCCGCATGCAACCGCATGTCAAATGCAGGCCACGCTCAGGGCCATGAGCGCTGGCTCAAGGGGGCAGGGAGTAGGAGGGCTGCTCTTGACCAGCTGGCGACCGCTTGACATGGCCATAAATAACAAAGCCAAAATGGCGTCCAAAGCACACAAAAATTTGACAAGAGTCGAGCGAGCGAACGAGCGAGCGGGCCAAAATGTGATATGTCAAATGCACTCGCCATCCACGAGTCACAGCAAGCAAGCAGCAGAGGCAGAGAGAAAGGGAAAGAGAAAGAGAGAGTGAAAGCAGGACCATTAAAGTTGAAAATGAAATAAATATAAGGATTGCATCCATAAAACTGTCTGAGCTGGCGTCACAAATTCTATAAAAATTGCACTTTGCTGACTAATTTGCAGGCAAAGAAAGAGAAAGAAAGAGTAAGAGTGAGCCAGAGAGAAGTAGCCGAAACGGAATTGGGAATGTCAGCTTATAAATATGGCTGCACAAAGGCAATGGCAATGGCAATGGCAAAGGCAAAGGCAAAGTTAAATTATCTGTGTAAGCGAAACAACCATATAAATCCATTCAATGAACTGCCGATGCGAGCGCTGCGCAAACATCGTGTCATCCACGACAATAAATAGAGCCAAAGTTTCGATATAAAGTTGGAAAAAACTTTGCGAAACTCATTTCGGTTTGAATGTTGTAATGAATTTGGTTTATAGTTGGCCTGGAGTAAAGCAGATTTACGAGTTTCACAAATGCATCTAATTGTGAATGAAATTTCAAATTCCGAATAAGTTTTAATTAATCGAAATAATCGAACTGTGCTATGCTAAAACTATCGATTCATTGTTCTGAAACTGCATTCTTTTTTTAGTATTTTAGTATTTTATTATATATATAAGTGTAGAACCTGTACAATCAAATAGTTTCTCTTCATGAACGTAAATGAGCTCTAGTCGGAACTGCCCGACTAGGAAATAGCCCGATTTCTACGATTTTGTTTATGTTTAAATATAATTTACATTCTGTTAATTATAATTTATTTTATTTTTATTTTTATAAGCAATTTAAATAAATAAGTAATTGTATAGTAATACATACATTTTAAAATTATTTTAAATATTTATTTTATTTATCTAAAAATTTGTTCAATTTTATTATAACTTAAATACATTTTTTATTTGTATTACAATTTATTCTTTTTATATTTGAAGGTTTTGATAATTATAAATGTTTAAATATAATTAAATATTTATTTGTTGTATTTAATTAATTTATTTCATTTGATTAGTATTTTCTCTTTAATATATATCATTATAAGCATTTATTTATTTACTTGCTATTTTCAATTAAAACTTCTTATAATAGGTAAAATAGATTTCTTATTTTGGGTCAGTTTTAATGTGCTCTCTGTGACCCAAAGGCAAATGCCAATTACAATCGAGCTGTGTTTGCTTTATGCCTCGTTTGAGCTAACCAGCTCGACAAATATGTTAACATATATATGCTGGATGCCCGAATGCCTGGCAGCTTGTTAAAGCTCGTGAAATCTCAACAATGTCGAACAGTAAAATACAAAAAAAAAAACAAAGTCCAAGTTAATTGCATATTTTTGTGTGTGCATACTCTTTTCAAGTGTTTGTTCAGTCTCTCTCTCTCTTTCTCTCTCTCTCTCTCTCTCTCGCTCACTCTCTCTGCAATGCAATGCAAACATGTAACCAACTATATAGACACTATATAGCATATAAGTACTCTACTCGAGTGTGCGTGTGTGTGCGGTAATTCGAATCCTTTGTCTTGTGCAATGCCGCGCAGGCAGTTTACGCAACAACAAAAAAAACGTTGCATACTTGCGGGCGGCAGTCGCAAAAATTGTGCTGCATATTTACGGGGGCAGTCGCCGTCAGCGTCGCTGCTCGTAGCTGCATTTCCGCTTAATGTTGAGCGATAATAAAATGCAAACAGCAACAACTACTATAACAACAACAGCAACATGCCAGCGAGCGCTGCGCTGCAACGATAATGAAACAAAGGACACTCTCACACACGCACACACGCACACACATTTGCATTGATTTATGTTTTTTAATTTAAAATTTCCGCATCACTTAACCGTTAAAAATAATAATAACAATAACAGCAACAAGCCCAAAAAACAATAGCAATGCGCTTTGTGCGCACAGCCACGCCCACACACAAACTATGGTATATATATATATATATACTTTTATTATATTTGTACAATATGTATGGCTGAGATTTAAATATTGCATTGTGAAGCGAAAAACTTTGAACATGTTTTAATTTCCGCATTACAAGCAGCGCTGCCAACCTTAACTCTGCCTTTCTCTCTCTCTATCTCTTTCTTGATTGTCTGTCTCACTCACTCCGTTTTGTTTGCCTTACAGATTGGGCGGCCACCCACAACAGATGCCACAAAGTATGTCAACTGGCAGCAACACAATCGGCCATGGCGGCATCGATCGCGGCGGCGTCGGCGTCGGCATGCCAATGGGCGCCGGCACCATGCCGGTGGGCGTTGGCGGTCAGGTGGGCGGGCCGCAGGTATCGGTCGGACCGCCAGGCAGCGGAGTTGCCGGACCGCATTGCCAGATAAGCGGCTCCCAGCCGCTGGTCATGCCTGGATTCCCGTTGCGCAATTCGCACTCAGCGCATGCACCACACTATTCGCCATATTCACCATCCAGGTAAGCAGTGGGTCAAACGGTGGGTCATGCCGTCATGATGCAGTCACGCGCACACTTCACGCTCCATTGAGTGCGGCCGAACGGGTGCAAGTGAGCCAGCATTGCAGTTAGCAGCTATTCCACACTCTCTCTCTATCTCTAAAGAGAGAGAGAGAGAGCGAGAGAGAGAGATCTTCCTTCTCTCTCCCTTATTTCATAGTTAGGAACTAGAAACTTAGCTGAAGGAATTTACTTAAACTTAGCTTAGGCAAGTTCCTGACATAGAAAGTTTTGGAGTCAATTCAGGGAACTTGGGTTCAGTTCGATTTTGTGTGGGTTCGACTAGGTAAGGTTAGCTTCTGGCTGCATCCTGGTCTCAGCTATAGCTATACAATCTTTATAGTTGCTCTAGCATAAAAGGGCTCATTAGGAGTGCTAATTAAACACGAACAGCTTGGGCATGGCTAGTGAGGATAGAGTCTTATGTCTTTGGCAGGCTATGCAAACAGAATCTTTGCTACAACTTTTATGCAATTAACTTGAGGCAGCTGTTGTAGCTAGCACGAAGGCCAGTGTCGACTGCAAGTTGTGTATCATTTTGCGTTGCTTTATTAAAAAAGTTGACAGTTGACAAACCCATCGGCGTGTGTGTACAGCGTGTGTACACTGTGAGTGTGTCTATGTGTGTGTGTGTGTGTGTGTGTGTGTGTTTCGTTGGTTTTTGTGGTCCGTGTAGCCTGTCAAACGAATAAACGAACTTTTTAGTCGACATGCGTTTATTCAGCAAATATATAAAGCTGCGTGTACCTTGGAGATGAGCGCTATTAAATAAGCTGCAGCATATCTGAAGTTCTGTGATGTAGCGAGTGCGACAGTGTAGCGAAAGTAACGAGTCGATAGGCGAAAAGCCTTTGATTAGACTAGTGAGTGCAGCAGAGTTGAGATTGATTTAAAGTGGCGTGTGATCAAGATTGATTGATTAAAATTGGGAGTATCAAGTATTTTCGAAAATCTTCTGCTAAATAGAGCTGCTCAAAGTAGCGATGAGCTAAATGCAACGAATGACTTGGAGCTGAGATTGGCTCAAAGTAACGAGAGATTTAAATACAGTTCGAAAGAATATTTGTTTCTCTACTAGTGAATCGATCAAAGTAAAGAAAGCGATAAGCCAACGAGTCATTTGGAAGTGTTGCCTGAAGTAACGGAAATGTTTAAGAACGTCTCTTTAAGTAGCGAGTTATTGGAAGATACTAAAAAGTAACTAGTAACTTAAAATAGTTGAGTATAGTTGACTATAAAGTTGAGTTGTATAAGGTCTGCCTGCTGCCATAGAGAATCACTTAATATATAAAAGTAACGAATAAAGTAGCAAATAATGCACAGCAAAACAATCAAGAGTAACGAGTATTTCAGAGAGTTGTATTCTATGTAGTAGCGAAACGTTTAAAGTATGCAAGTAATGAGTTTTGTTCTTAAACATAGATTCAAAGAAGTTAGAGCCTGAAACGATTAAATGCTTTAGATAAAATGATTGTTAGAGCGAATTTCATAGAGCAACGAGTGCTTGAGCTTATCGAATCAGCGAGTAGATGCCATGAAAGTAACGAGTCACTTTCAGTGAGTGGTGGTTTTTAGGCCTAGAAAACGTCTGCTTAAACTCTAGGTAAGGCCACTCGGCCTACTTGTTACACGCAGTCCAATGCTCTGCGCCGCTTTGTCGCCTTGTTTGCCTTCATTTGGTGTCTGTTCGCTGTTTGTCCGTTGTTAATTACAAATGCATTGCGCAGTTTGTTTAAGGGTCTCTATCTCTCTCTCTCTCTTTCTGTCTCGCTTGCTTGCTGGCTTTCTCAATACTCATTATATTTTGCCTTGTTTCCTTTTCAGGTTTCACATAGATAAACGCTGTCAACACCGATGTTCCTGGAAATGCTTGAGCATCGCCTTAATATTCATATCCGTCGTCCTAACCGCCATGTTGGCATACTTTGCAGGTAAGCTGAAGGCCGGGGTAGCTGTAAAAGTTACGGACAAGACAGGACACATCCGCCATGTTTGGGGATGATGGCCAATGTTTATACGAATGTCTCTCCATTCATGTGTGTGCGTGTGGATAACGCGACGTTGTCATAATGCCAAACACTCTTGATGAAAAATACACATACAAGTGCAAATAGACTGACGCACACACATGCCTGAATCAAATACATATTTTAGACACACACACACTAGCTTAACATGGCAAATACATCAAAATGTTTGCTTTACATTAGCGTTAAATGGTGTTACTTTACACACACACAGCCAAGCCAAGAAACTTTGCGCCTGGCTCGTTGGCAAACACAATAATAGACCGCACCTCCCAGCTTGCCTTTGCCTGCTTCTTCGCCTCTCTGCCTCTCGTACAGTCGCTAATAGCCACTGGTTTGTTGATTATGTGAAAAGTTGCATGTGGCAGCTGTTGGTCACCAGCTGCACCATTGACAAGCAATTAGAAACCACAACTGACACGCCTACCACGCCCCCAAATTATGTGCATGTCCTACTTAAACATAGCCCATGAAGGGTCCAAACATTTCAATTTCAATGAGAGAAATATTAAAAAAATTGCTGAAGCTTGATAGATATCGCAGGTTATATTTTAGTAGCTGCAGCTAAATAGAGGATTTTTTTAATTGATATTGCGGCTTATATTTCGGTAGCTGAAGCTATTTAAAATTTTTTTTAATTGATAACGCGAGCTATATTTTGGTAGCTCAAGTTATATAAAGCATTTTTTTTAATGCTTTGAGCACTATTTCAATTGATAGCTGAAAGTTGTTTCTTGTTGAGTTTGGCTTGACATTTCATTACTCATTCGCTGCAGCTTATTATCTTAGCGCCAGTTGCCTTAAGTCTTAACTGGTCTGTGGGGCAGCTTATGCTTCTTTGATATGCTCTATTTCTAGAGGCCAGTTTGCTGGGTCTGTGAGAATCGCTAGATTTTTGCCTAGAACTGAATTACTTATGCAACAATCAGCTCCAGATTATCTAGGTCAATATCATCGTAGCATTTTGCTCAGCACAATTTGGCTCCATAATAATAATAAAACACAAAAAAAAAAAAAAATAAATAAATAAATGAAACAAAAACTGAATAGTTAATATATATATGAATGAATGTATATAGCAGCTATATTTATGATTAGCTTTCAGTTGCAGTTAGCCAAATCAGACTAAACTTGACTATAATTAAGTGGAGATCTAAGATCTGGCATTAATTGTCGCTTGACTGAGAGATTAATCGCCGCGTAGACTTTTCTAGTCAAAACCCAACTCCATTAAGAGTAGTTCGATCTGTCTAGTTCTATATAAGCTTAGAATTGAGCTGGTCTCTAGCTGCTTCTATAACATTGTTCCCTTCCATCTCTTTCCCACCTTAAAACTCGCTAATGCTAAATAGATTTTGTGCCCTGACGTTGTTGGTCCTGCCTTTTTTGCTTTCGAGCAGGCTTGGATTAAAAGGTAGTCTGCAGGCCACTACGACTGCCACGCGCCTCACTCTGGTTCGCTTTCGCTTTGACTGGCACTTAAAGCTCTCGCTCATTAGCTGACAATGGCAAATTAACAAAATTTTGAAATGCCAACGCTTCGAGGCATGCAATACTCACACCTTCACGCAGCAAACAAAATGGCGACGTAGCACAAAATGTTGCCTCAACCAAATTGAATGCGGCAGCTGCAAACGCGTCTGCTGCTGCTGTTGTTGTTAACAACTTGATAATTAAACACGTTTCGTGTTGTCATTGTTGTTGTTGCTGTTGCTGTTGCTGTTGCTGCTGTTTTTGCTGCCACCTTTTAAATTATATTTACAGGTCAATTTGATTTTTTACTGCCAACCTTTTGGCAAGCGGAGCAACTTTTTGCTCCCCCTTCATCCACAATCTCCCACTCTCTCGCTCTGCTCCTGCCTTGCTTCTAAGTCTGGCTAAATTGTTGTTGTTGCTGCTGCTGGGCAACGCTCCACAAAACTTTGCACATTAAAATATGTAAATTTTAATTTGAAACAAAAGGGTTGACGTGTCGCTACCCTACCTCAAGACCAGCTCCAGCTCCAGTTCCAGCTCCATCCTAGTCCCGCCCAGCACGCGACTTCCTTTGTGCCTTGGCGTTTTATCTAGTGTTGCAAACTTTTTGTTTCGCTTTTTATTTATTTCTATCTTTCCTTCTTATATATATATATATATATATATATATATATATTTATCTTTATTTTTATTTTTTTTGTTGCTGCCAACTCGCTTGATAAATTTTCCTGCCGCACACGCATTTAATTTATGCGCTCCGAAACATTTCTCGTCTGCTTCAAATGAGCCAGCCAGCTGGCAACGGGGCGTGGCACAGGCATTTCATGTGCCACCAAAAGGCATTTGCCTCAACGCCAAAGATTTGAATATCTATTCAAAATTCAGTTGAATGTTTAACAAGTTATTAAAAATATAAATATCGATTGCTCTTGCTGGAGTGATCAGAGTATATAGAAATATATTTTAAATATCAATCAAATGGGCTTTATTGCATAGAACATTTTGTGATATTAATGCTTTGAACTATCGTGTTGAATAAGTGGCAAGTGCCACTTATCTCTAATCTATTCCAAGGCTGTTTGAAGCTTAAACTAAACTCTGTCAAATCGAATATTATTGAAGCTCTATCCCTGGCCTAAAATGCCTACCTGTTCATCTTACGGCATGGGCGTGGCAGCTATTTGACTTGAAGCGTGCTGCGCTTAATTTATTATCTATGCTTTTAGCAGCAGTGGCAGCAGCTGCTGGTTCAGAGAGTCGCAGGCTCTGATTTACAACAACAAAGAGAGCAACGAAAGTTGCGGCTGCCGCCCCAGACCCTCCTCAGTGGCTGCTGTTGCTGCGGTGTCACAACGTTGCAAGTGAACGAAAACAAATTTACAACAAACCACGAGAAAAATGTGTGATGCCACTTGGCTGGCTGGGTGACTGGGGTGGCTGCTGCCTGGGTGGCTGCCTGGTTGGCTGAAAAGCAACCCCAGTCAGATGGCCCCACGTCCCCTACCTGCCCGCCTTCTGGTCTTATGGGCCAGGCACTTTACTTTGGCGCACAAAATGAATTTAAGTTGAAAAGTTGTGAACATTTTGTGGGCAGACGCCGGCAGGCAACATCATATGGCTGCGAGGTTAGCAATAGCTGGGGACTATGCCCAAAAGCTGCGTGTGGATTTCACTGATTTAATTGTTTGCCAGTCAGTGGGGCGCGCGTGTGTGAGAGCGAGTAGATCTGCTTGAAATTTATCTTTTAAAAATAATGTATTAATTTGTGTGGCTGCCCTCGCATACAGTGTGTGTGTGTGTATGTGTGTGTGTGTGTGCGGTTGGGAGTTAGGTGGGACTATCCATAAACTCATTTGTGTAAAAAGCTTTTTGTGTTGTGTGTTGGCTGTCGGCTTCGCTGCGCTGCGGTAAATGAATTTACGCTTCGCCAAAATCTCTGTGTGTGTGTGTGTGTGTGTGTGTATGTGTGTGGGTCGTTTTATGGTTGAATAGTTTTAAAGCTGCGGGGTTAAGATGAAGGCAGCAGCAGCAGGTGATGAAAACAGCTCGACTGCGCTTTAGCTTTTAATAGTGGCTAATATTTTTGCAGCTGCTGTTACGCCCAGACTGTGTAGCTGAGTGTGTGTGCGACGTCTGTTTGCGCAATCATTTTCTATTAATTAAGCGCAAGAGGGTTTAATAAAATTAGCAAACACTTGCGGGCGGGCCAGATGCGACGTTGCCTGCGTATGTGTGCGTGTGTGCGTGTGTGTGTTAGCTGACATTTAAAAATATACAAACAGACACGCACTAACACACACAAACACACGCACACACACATCATTGTCAGTTAATTAACAAGCGCAAACAAACGAGTTGAGACGAGGCTTCGCTTTGTTTGTTTGCATCCTGTGCGTGTGTCTGTGTGGCCTTTAATTTGATTTGCATTTTGTTAAGCAACCTGCCCCGCCCCCCTACACGCTCAGCAGAGCCAAAGTTTCGTTGAGAAATTTGATAAGCAGCGCCGAGAAGTGTTGCCTACTTCTGTGGGCAGAGCGCAGAGCACAAAAATGTTGCCTACATTTCAGCGCAGATTTCTAATGAACCGAAAACAAGAGAGTTTGCATGTTGCCCTGGCCAAGTGGCAATTGCAGGGCTTAGTATAACACGCACATACTTGAGCACTCACACACACACACACATGCGAGCAGGAGTGGGCAGCTGCCAAAAAGTGTTGCCTACTTTTCAGGGCAAACATTCGACGCGCTGCACATGTTGCAAACAAAACTGTGTAAGCGTGTGCTTTGGTAAACAAGCCAGAGGCGCTGCTCGGCGAGCAAAGTGAGTGACACACACGCACACACACAGACACAGGCAGAGCCGCTAATGCATTAGCTGCCAAAAATTTGCTGCCAACATTTGCGCATTAGCGCTGAAAGCGAAATTCTTAACTTTCCACAAATTTCTGTGCTTTTTCTTTTTGATTTTATTTTTTTTTTGTCTATAAGTATGCACATACTTCTGTTAGGCACTATTCAAGCCCATATTCATTAACTGGCAGCGCAGCAATTCGTAATTCTCGATATATATAAATTTAGCCACAGGATTTTGCATCTCTCTCCCCCCTATCTCTTGCTCTCGCTGTGTCTGTGTGCAAATGACTGTCATAATTTGCTAGCCAATATATGCGATACATCTGTCATATCTATACGATAATCGACCGCAACGTCAACAGGCCAACAACGTGACATGTGGAACAACCGCAGCAACAACAACTGCAGCAAACATGCAAGCTGTCCATGAAGTTGTTGTTGCTGTGTGCACAAAATGTTTGAGCAGGCCACGGCTCGAATTACCACTGATGCGCCAGTTTCTATCATAACAGCAACAGCAACGGCAACGGCAACGGCAACGGCAACAGCGATAAGTGCAATTGCAACAGCTGCGAC